GGAAGGCGTTGGCTTGTCTCAAGAGGAGGACAGGCAAGCTGGGACTGGAAGGGGTTCAGGGTGGACAGAGGGGACTGGCCTGGCTGTGGTCATTCTCTTAGAACTCCTTCAGTGCATTGTTGTGGTTGTTGTTGTTGTTGTTGTTGTCAGCTGCTGTTGAGTTGATCCCAACTCCAGGTGACCTCCATGTCTGGAGCATTGTGGCGCCATAGGGGTTCTGAGTGTGTGACATGCTAGAGGCAGCTGGCCAGGCTTGCCATCCGAGCTGCCTCTGGTGGGTTCAAACTGCCAACTCAAGGCTATTCATGACATGCTTAACCTTGTGCGCCACCCCGGCTTTCTGAGCGGTTGGGGGTCGGAATGGTCCAGGCAGGATCCCCAACACTGGGGGCAATGAGGGGGTGTGCTTGGCCATGATGGAATCTTCACAACCATGGCTGGGAGAGTCTCCATCCAACAGCAGATGGACAGCTCCTCCCAAAGACCTGCCCGTTCCACTCTGGACTAGCTTAGCCCCAGTGGCCTGGAGCTGGTGACCAGCCAGCAGCCCGAGGTGGTAGAAACTGAGGGGACGGCATTCCCAGAGACCACCAGGAAGGTCTTGGCAGGCTTCTTTAAGAATAGCCATAAGCCAAGGAGACCCTGCTAGAGATCGGGTAAGGAAAATCAAAACAAACAAGAGAATGTAAAACATCTTCTCCCCCTACCACCCCCAACTTCATTTACTTATGTATTTGTTTATTTTAATAAGTCATTTTATTGGGGGTTCTTACAGCTCTTATAACAATCCATACATCAACTGTATCAAGCACACTTGTACATTTGTTCCCATCATCATTTCCAAAACATTTTCTTTCTACTTGAGCCCCTGGTATCAGCTCCTCGTTTTTCCCCTCCCACCCTCGTGAACCCTTGATAATTCATAAATTATTTTTATTTTCATATTTTATAGCATCTGCTGTCTTCCCTTCACCCATGTTTCTGTTGTTCGTCCTCTCAGGGGTGGGGGGTGGGGGTGTTGTCCGTCAATCATTGTGATCTGTTGCTCCTTTCTCCCCCTTCTCCCCCCACCTCACCCCTACCCTTGTGGTATTGCTTCTCTCCTGATTGGTCCTGAGGGGGTTAGCAACGAGATAGCTGTGAACTCTGGGACTGCCGTCAGACTTGTCCACAAAGGTGGGGCTGAAGGTGACCGTCTTCCCTCGTCTGGTGGCCTGGTGGGGGGCGGTCCATGTTTCTAAGGAGCCTGGTCATAGTTCTCATACTTTCCTCTCTTCTTATTCTTCTGGAAGCCCCCAGAACTCATCCTCCCCCAGAGAACCCTGCAGGTCAGTAGACTGCCCCCTAGCGGCCATGTGTTGACTTCCACGTGGAAGCCATAGCTTGGCTAATTAATCAGAATCACTAATATTTCGGGGTTCAGATCAGAAGAAAGACAGTGCTTTCTACTCCCATGAAGAGTTACCGTCTCAGAAATCCACAGAGGCCATCGATCCTGTCCTATAGAGTCATTAGGAGTCAGAATCAACTCAATGGCAGTGAGCTGGGTTCTTTTGGGGGTGGGGGGTGGTCAGAGGCTCATCAGACAGCTGAGGGATCCAGTGTGAATTCTGCCACTCGGCTAGCAGTGGCAGATCTTGTCTCCATGAAGTGGGGATACGATCATTGAACCTAGCGCAGGAGGGCTGGGCACAGAGAACGTGTTCAAGAGCTGTCAACAGTGCCCATTCCAAGCCCCATCCAAGTTGTCCCCCATAGTTCTGAGGGGTGGGGGGCCCAGCAGGCCTTCCGTGGGCCCAGGCTGTTGGGGAGTTCAGGGGAGAGAGCCATCTGACGGACGGCTGTGTTGGCTTGAATGCTTCTATCTGTGTCTCTGCCAGTGTGTCCTTTCTGCTAGCTCTCAGCTCTCTCGGCCCCATGGTGCCTCCCCCCACCCCCCACCCCCGCTCTGCTGCCCACATCGCAGTGCCAGCCTCGCATCCACGGGCACTTCACGCACCGAGCACTGCTGCTGCTTCTTGCTGTTGTTTTCATGACTTCTGCCTCGTACGAAACATATGAATTTTGCAGATGGATGGTTCCACCCTGGGCAGCTCTGATAGACTGTCACTGCCCATCTGCCGCCCCAGCTGTAATCTGTAGCATCCAACGCCACCCCTTCTCCTAGCCCAGGAACAACGAGTAAGCTTCGGGCTTCCCGAATGTCTGCAGGACCCAAGTCAGAGCTTCTCGGAGAACCTAAGGGAGAGCCCAGGGCAGGGCAGAGCCCAACCACCCATAGCAGCTGCTCTGTCCACCCTGAGCTTTTCTGAGACTGGACACCACGGCCCTGCATGAGCCTGCCCTCTCAGGAAAGCCCCGTTGGCCTGGACGGGTCACCAGCTTGCTTCGGGGCCCTGGACACAGACTGTCGGGGTTCACATTCCTTCCCCGGTCCGCCCATGTGAGCTGACCCAAGTTGCTTCATTCAAATTTCCCACCCTCCTCTACCCCCACCCCCCAAAAAGCACGATGAGTGTTTCATGTTGTGTCCTTTGGTGGTTGTTTGTCATCAGATGCAGCTCGTCACCACCCCGTGTGCAATAGGACCCGGCACTGGCACGCCCAGCCCATCCCCACACTCGTGGTTAGGTCTGAGCCCCTGGTCGGAGCGCCTGGGTCAATCCATCTCACGGAGGGTCTTCCTCCTGCCCCCCCCCCCCCCCCACGCTACCAAGCATGACGTCCTTCTCCAGGGACGGGTCCCTCCATGTCCCAAGTACATGCGAGACCCTCTTGCCATGCCCGCTTCTAGGGGGTGTTCTAGCTGTTCTTCTCCCAAGGCAGGTTTGTTTGTTCCTCTGGCAGCCCCTGGGACTTCCAGCACCATAACTTATACATCCGTTCTTCTGCAGTCTCCATGGAAACGCCATGGCTAGGTCCTCAAAGTCCTCAACATCACACCCTTGCTCTTCGACACTTTAGAGAGGTCTTGAGCAGAGAGGTGCTCTGTGCCATGCGTCACGTGGCAGGAAGGTTAAATGAGCTAGTGCCCACGATGTCCGACTCCCAGTCCCTGCTCAGTAAAGGCAGGGCTTAGGTATTGCTGCAGCAGCACTATCGTAGACACCACGGGTCTGGGGCGGGGGGCTCTGCCATGGTGTCTGCTTCTGGCTGATGAGCTCTTTCTGGTGTCCCCGGGTGGTAATGTGATTGACTCCTAACCCCAAGTTTGGAGGTTTGAGTCTACGCTGCGGTGCTTTAGCATTGGGTCCTGGGGACCAGACCAACTTTGAAGCGCTGGGGTTGCGGCTCTGTTCTGACACCCAGGTGGGGCTGTCAGGAGTCGCAGTTGAAGTGATGACAACTCCATGGTTTTGTTTCTGTTCTTTGACTATTTCTGGAATGCAGAGCTCTCTGCAGAGCAAGGAAAGCCAAGTTAGGTGGTAAAGAGAAGACGTTGCAAGAATGACCAGGTAGAAGCCCTCCATTTGTGAATGGGGAGACTATCCCTGACCATGGGACAGGCCACCTGGTGTGTGTCAAGCCTCCTGGCCCTTGGCTATGCTGTCGGTATTATTACCCGCTGGCCTTGCTAGGCGCTGCTTAGAGCTGCGCGGGGGACACCCAGCGCGTTGAAAATGGGTGTCTCCAAGCACCTTAGCCATCCCAGGGTGCGATGGTTTCATTCCATAGAATCCATTGACTGGGGCAGGGAACCCGGCTTGCTTCCTTTAGTTTGACTGGCCACCAGGAGAAGGGAGGGAGGGAGGGAGGAAGCCAGCCAAAAGGCTTTGCAGTTAACCTGGGTTTGGTTTCACAGTGACGAGCAGGTGAGGCCTCGGAGTGGGCTTTCCTGCCTCTCCCTAGCATCCTGGGGCAGATGGAACATGCATCAAGGAGGGATGAGTGTGTCCCCTGGTGTAGCTCTGTGTGGGG